CCAAGGAAAATCACCTGCTTCTGTTTGGGCTCCCGGGTAGTATCACAGTCCTCACGCAAATAAATGATAACTATTACTGATCACATTGTTATTATGTGGCGCATATGTATTTGGTGACACCTTGTACCAATGTTTAGGTGTTCAAATAAATAAATAAATAAACCTACACCCACTTCTGTATCTAGTGAGTTCTGTCTTCCTGTGCTAATACACAAAGTATGGCGACACACGACCAGGTTCTAAGTTGTTTCACCTTGTTTATCTATTTATACCTTACCCAGATAATTCTATAGTAATATTAAATGTAATCAAAAGATTCATAATTGAACAAAAATAAAAAATTAAAACAACTTAATGCACATGAGGAAGTGATAGAAGTCAATACTTAGTTTACGTTAATATTAACCAAGCTACATTTCAGTCAGTCAGCTACAACGTTGAACCAGGCACATATATGCATCGGTCCAAATTGCCATACCTCATTAGCACAACAAGATCAACACCAAATTCATAGAAGTAGTTAATTCAGTGGTGGTAATATATAAAAGAAAGATTGCGTATAAGGATACGATACAGGGGATAAAATTAGTTCATAGAAAGAAAAATATGAAGCGATTTTAATCTTATAGTTTAAGGGAAGATAGAAAGTGTATACACCGACGCCATTGTGATCGATTCTGACCCATATCACTCAGAGTCTCTAACCATTGGTTATGATAGTCACGCGGACCCCAACCAAGTAGTCTGCATGTACCAACATGGCTCAGACTAGAAGTTAGTGACTTCAAGCACTGATGCCACGTTTTAGTTTGGCAGCTCATAACCAAGCTACATTTCAGTAAACAAAATAACTGTGTAGTTAATCCTCAAAAGAAAAGAAAAGATTAACGAACCTTACTTAACGGCTGGATATTACTAACGTATTCACTAGAATTGTATGTTCATTTGTAAAGGAAAAACAAGGTTAATGAGAATAGTTTAGTGATAATTACTACTAGTTAACTCCAAGAGATTGTTTTGCCTAAATCCGTTACATAGGCATTGTTCTACTGATACACAATAAACAATTGTATTAAAGTCATAAGTTCAACTGTTTATGTAATATTCACATGTATATTTAAATGAAGTGTCACAAAATGAGTTGAATATGATCGACAAATGGATGATTTACATTATGATGTTAGATTAAATTAGCAAAATTTGACATTAGTGGTAGCCAGTCTTCTTTATAGGCATCGTTAGACCTTCTACATACAAGTATCTGTTCAGATTGTCAGATTTCCTAATCAATGCAGTGAGAACAGACCAAATCATTGAATTTAGATCGATAACCACGATCAATAGTTAAAGATATTGGGTGACATGGCTAAGGATCAGTAGAAATAACGAATATCCAATCACTCTTTGTCTGACTTTAGGTCTTGAATTCCAGTATTCCTTTGTGTATGCCTTTTTCTTGAATCGTATCATCAATGTTTAGTCTTTGTCATTATTATTTCTAATACATTATTTCGACTACTTTATGATTCATCACATTAATCTCCTGGTGCTTGATTCAATATGGGATACTAAGACAAAGCATATTTTTGACAGGTTCTACGTTGATTGCAACTAGTTAAACTTAGTCAGAAGTACTGAAAACTTGTTATTTCGATTCATCTACTTTAAATCGTTTAAAGTGTAAAAGTATGTAGATTAGGATATCCAATGTCGAATTGAAACTTGTATGTCATTAACACTATTCTTTTGACAAAAATCCAACTAGATACAACATGAAATAATCATAATAATAATCACACTTATTACTATAGAAAAACAACTAGTAATGCAACAATTAGTGATGAAAAAAGACTTACGTCAGACGAATAGATTGGATCAAATTTTTCAATAAGACGTTCAACAAGTCGATCGGTCTTAAACCACTGAGAAAACATGGAAAGTAATGTAGTTAATAAAAAATATTAGAAGAGGTTCTGTGGATATTATAGTAATTTTAATAGTTGAGATCATGAGTCAACTGAAGCTAGACCACTATGGAAAACATGGACGACCGTTTCTTCCTATTATGGGACTCCTCAACAGTGCGGATCCATGACTCTACCTCGCGAGATTCCAGTCCAGGACCTAGCAGTCTCGCGCGCGAGTGCTTAACCACTAGACCACTGAGCTGGCATTGAATGGTGTCAATGTCTAACTTCAACTAATCCACGAAATTGAGCGACATATCCACCATTATCATCAGTGAGTTACTATCTCACAACAGACCCAGTTGAATTCCACTGGAGATAAAACAAATATGTAAATTGTATCCCAATATATTCAACATTAATCAATTAATTTGATTGACACACTCCATTTAGCTACCATTGTGATGTGTGCTACTGATATCGACATATATAAGTAGTATGTATCATCAGTCAGAAGTGAAATGCTTGGAGGCAGAAGGTTAAGAAGATCGAAGAGAAGAGAACGAGAACAGAGAATGTTTGGTGTGGAAACGAAGGAACAATCAAGTCTGAGACAATTGATTGACATTTTACAAATGAAGTATTTACTGTATGGTTTTTAGATTTTACTAAGAGATTCTGGAATTTTGTGTTCCGCCTGTGTTCTCGTTCACTACACTATGAGCGAAGTACAGAAAGATTAGTTAAAGAAGCGGTGGATTATTTTTCCCAGATTCAAATCATTTGACGTTTATTTCATTTTGGGTAGCCATGTTGTAATACCAGTCTACACATGAGTAATGTAACTTGAAGCTAAGTACGTAAACCTGAAACATTGTAGACAAGTCATAGTAGACATTATTGATCTAAGAAAAGATTTAAGTTGATGCGCTTCACACGACAGGAACGGAGAATTTACACTGTGACGAGTATTACATTACCATAATAACTAAGTGCCTGATGATATGCAATGTAGCAATGGTACAAGCATTCACAAAAACATTGCACGCGATAAAAAACGGAGGCTGGTCTTGAGTTCAACAAAAAACTTTAAAACTAGAAAGCATGATTTTCGCACATCAACAACATACATATACTTTATCCCATAACATTACATTATAAAAGGTAGTGAGTTTGAGTCCCATTATGGATATCAACAATAGGACTTGGGTACATCCAGCTGACGAGTTCCAAATACAAAGAAACAGCATGTGAATATTACATAAACAGTTGAACTTATGACTTTAATACAAATGTTTATTGTGTATCAGTAGAACAATGCTATGTAACGGATTTAGGCAAACAATCTCTTGGAGTAACTAGTAGAATTATCACTAAACTATTCTCGTAACCTTGTTTTTCCTTTACAAGTAAACATACAATTCTAGTAAATACGTTAGTATATCCAGCCGTTAAGTAAGGTTCGTAAATCTTTCTTTTCTTTTGGGGATTAACTACACAGTTATTTTGTTTACTGAATGTAGCTTAGTTATGAGCTGCCAAACTAAAACGTGGCATCAGTGCTTGAAGTCACTAACTTCTAGTCTGAGCCATGTTGGTAGATGCAGACTACTGGTTGGGGTCGGTGTGACTATCATAACCATGGTTAGAGACTTTGAGTGATATGGCTCAGAATCGATCACAACGGCGTCGGCGTATACATTTCTATCTTCCCTTAAACTATAAGATTAAAATCGCTTCATATTTTTCTTTCTATGAACTAATTTTATCCCCTGTATCGTATCCTTATACGCAATCTTTCTTTTATATTACCACCATTGAATTAACTACTTCTATGAATTTGGTGTTGATCTTGTTGTGCTAATGAGGTATGGCAACTTGGAACGATGCATATATGTGCTGGTTCAACGTTGTAGCTGACTGACTGAAATGTAGCTTGGTTAAATTAACGTAAACTAAGTATTGACTTCTATCACTTCCTCATGTGCATTAAGTTGTTTTTAATTTTTTATTTTTGTTCAATTATGAATCTTTTGATTACATTTAATATTACTATAGAATTATCTGGGTAAGGTATAAATAGATAAACAAGGTGAAACAACTTAGAACCTTGGTCGTGTGTCGCCATACTTTGTGTATTAGCACAGGAAGAGAGAACTCACTAGATACAGAAATGGGTGTAGGTTTATTTATTTGAACACCTAAACATTGGTACAAGGTGGCACCAAATACATATGCGCCACATAATAACAATGTAGTCAGTAATAGTTATCATTTATTTGCGTGAGGACTGTGATACTACCCGGGCGCCCAAACCGAAGCAGGTGGTTTTCCTAGGGGGCCATTCCCTGAACCTTTCACCCGAAGATCTAATCCACAAGGTAGCCGGTAACCAACAATTAGTTTAGACGCCGTTTGTCCCCTCAGGATACTGGAGCCGATGTACACCATTGGATTGTAATCAGGGTTTTTCAACCCCCCTACGCTGACTCTCCATATCCACCAACCCGGTTAAAGCGCTGGACATTGGCTTTTCGCCCTGTCAATTTTGTAAACAACACCTCTGCCGCGAGAAGGCATTGAGTAGGACTTCCTTGACAATGGTTGTATGCACGTGGCGATGTGAGAGGATTTCGAGAGGGATAGCTTACTCTCCTCACTCTCGACCGTACTAGGGCATTTGGGGGCATAAATAGTCTGAAATAGGAACAATAACCAACAGTTTAATAATCTGATTTTGTTGTGTTTATTATGAGATCTTATTGGCCTAGATTGGACTAGATGCCATATAAACTCTTGGCTGAACACCACTGATATGTTTCGAGTTAGAATAAAACAGCTGTTTTATACTCTATATCTTCTTCGCAAATCACTGGTTGACTGGTTTAAGTAGTTGACTCGTATTAATACTCTTAAACATTTTTAAACATTGATTTTATGATGACTCCCAATAGGTTTCTTTCTGTTTTTACTGCCTACAGTTTAGACAAAACGATCATTTAATCAATAAATAAGAACATAGGTTCCATTTTTCTTACTAGTTCATTCAGTTATTTATTCTCACTACTCTATATTATCATTTTTAATAATTAGGCACATGAATCGGCAGCTCATTGTCTAATTGAACTCATCACTGTTCTACGCAATTATTTAGTGAATAATCCTCCAAATTCAGATAATAGTGATATGATAGTGAATTCAATGACAACTGCAACCACCACTACTAATAATGTTGGCGGTAGTAGTATATTTGGATCACCGTTAAATAGTACATATTCCAGTTTATTTGATAAAGATGAAGAAACGTATAAAGCAGCTGAAAATTTACTAAATGTATTAGAAAGGTAAGTAAAGCATTAAATTTCATTCTTCTCATTTTACACTATACAGCAAGTTTAGTGTTGTTCGTTAATCCATATACTGAAGATCGAATGACATTGGTGTTGAGGTTCATCTGTCTATTCCATTAAAATATTAGATTCCTCCTTGCTTCATTGTAAACATTTTCAATTAAATCTGTTGGCACAATCATCCCAATGATTAAGTATAAATTCCTTCGATGATTAAGGGCTGTAAAATCTATGCCTAATTCTCAATTACTAAAGTACAGATCAAATCCCAGCTCAAATACTTTCGTTTTGACAAAACTTGTAGTTATTTACTGGCTCGTGAAGTCATCAACTTTTGGATTAGTCTCGGTTGTACGTACAGACTAACTTGGTTGGATTCCGTACGATAACCTTAACCAATTGTTGGAGTTGTTGAGTGACATGGCTTGCACAACAGCAAAAATTCATTTCCTATTCACCTTTTGCTAGATCTTGAGTTTTCAAACTACCTTATCTTTTTGTCCCGTAAATTCACTATCTTCTCGAGTCATCTAGTCTATGGTTAGTGTTTCATACGACCACTCTGGGATTTAGTTTAATAATTCCATCTTTTTGTGCTGATATAGTAGTATAGCAACTTGAACCGATGCACAAATCAACCAGGTTCTACGTTTCTGTTAACTGATTGGTTGAAATATCCTTCTATCTATTTATGTTGTAACAACCGACAGCTACTTGAAATTTACGACCATGGTTTTGGTCAACGCACTAAACAAGTATTCTCCACTATTCGTATTTTAGTACAGTTCAAAACGTAAGTTTCATCTCATCTTGATATTACCAGTAGAATAGTTGTGAATGTAAGAATACACGTTAATCATTAATTTGCCGTAAATTAATAGTAATAACTCCCTAGTTCCGCTTCGATGCCTGAATACTACAGATTCTTTTGTTCTATTCCTGACTGCTTTAAAAAACAGGTCTTTCAAGGAAGATTTATTGGTAGAGCCCAATAAAGATTGATTTCGAGAGTCATTCCATCTTTTATCTCTTCATAAGCTCATGTGTGGGGCGCACTTACATTTGATGCCTCCTTGTACCAGTATTAATGTTTTCAAACAAGCACTTCGTAGATATCCAAGTTCAATTCAACCCCAATTTCTTATCGTCCTTGAATTACTTCCATGTTGACTCATAGATAATATAAATTGCAAGTGTGATTGAATAAGTTATCACTATTTGTTTGGTTTCAGTGTTGTTATCATTTAAAATTGGTTCAGTAGCTTTATGTTTAAATAAACCGCTTTACTCAGCCAAATAGGCTGAGGGTACGGACCGCACACTGTGCTTACTTCGTTTTAAATGGTTAGATAAAGCTTATTTACTCTCACTCGAATTTCGTGATATAAGCCCGAACCCATACATTTTTACGTGGTAATTTATTATTATTAGGGTCTTGTTTAGTTTAGTTTAGACCATGGATTTTAGTTAGTCAATCACTAAAAACCAGACACGGCCGGACAGCTGTTTCGTCCTAGTATGCAACTCCATGGGAGTACACGTCCACGACTTTCCATCTAGGAATCGCATTCAGCTCCTTCAGGTCTCACAACGAACCATTAACCTTTCGGTTGCTAATTTGATTTTCAGTGGTTTGCATTTGTAACTCCAATAGATTCTCCATACTGCGCAACAACCTCTCAATGCCCTTAATTTGTAACTGTCTCACATCCCACTCGGTTAGACTGATCACGGCTTTTTACTAGAACACCAGTACTTCTTAGTTTTCAGTCTATGATGTAACCCATAAAAGTAACACACTTCTATTATCCAATATCAGTCAAACCTATTGATTTAATGCCACTATGAAAAGTTGTTCAAAAAGGAAATATTTCCTTGATAAATTTGTTTCCCCGCCCCCCAAATATACTTATAATTATCAAATAGATAAATAAAAGTAAATTCTTGTGGTATATACTGAGCACGATGTAAGATTAAGGACTTCAATATGAGTGGCATAATTTCGAGATTACCTTTTAGTGCTTAAGAAATGACTGATGGTCTAATTCTTAATACATTCACATAGTATTTGTATGTGTTGCGTTAGTTACTTTGGGTAGCAGAAATCATCATTTTGTAAGGAAAAGCTCTGAGATATGTGTTAGCATTTAAATTAACCGGTATTTTCAGCTGATCTTTTTTGTATTTTGTGACTTGAGCTACAAAATGTATTTCACTCCAACAATTTAATGTATAGCGGTTACTCAGTAGTTAAAACATTCAACTTTTGATTATTAAGTCTCAGGTTTGTACTGTGTTCTTCCTAATTTCATTTTCGGTAACTACTGGGTAGTAATTTTATCCCTCACACTTAGTATAACTCAAAACCAAGTACATAAATCTGTACTTAGTAAATGCGTTAATAAATAAAGATCAATAACCTAGTATTGTCCAATATCATTAATATTGATACATATTTGAGTAGCTCCGATATTGGCATATAAACATGTGTTTACCTTGAACCTATTTAGGGAATTGTTTATTATATCATGTGTATGTAGTAAAGTTAAAAGCTCGTCAATTCTCTATTTATAGTTTTCTAACTAATTCAAACTGAATAACTTTTGAAATACTTACTTACGCCTATTACTCCTTGTGGAGGAGCATAGGCCGCCCATCAGAACTCTCCATCCAACCCTGTCTTGGGTAATCCTTTCCAGCTCTTTTCAGTTATTGTTTATCCAAAACGTGGCATCAGTGCTTGAAGACACTAACTTCTAGTCTGAGCCATGTTGGTAGATGCAGAATAATTGGTTGGGGTCCGCGTGACTGTCGTAGTTAGTGGTTGGAGACTCTTGGTGAGATGGCTAAGAATCGATCACAATGGCGTAGGTGTATATACTGTCTGTCTTCCCTTAAACTAAGAGATTAAAATCACTTCATATCTTTCTTTCTACGAACCAATTCTTTCTTCTTGTACTATATCTCTATATGCAATCTTTCTCTTACTGACTGACTGACTTTTCATATCTGCTTCTATTTGAGGAACCGGTTGTATTAAGTAGGAACATTTCAATCTAAGGTTATAGAGATCATGAATGGATCAATGTTAAAACACCATCGAGAACCTGGAAGCACTGGACGGCCGGTTCATCCTAGTATGGGACTCCTCAGGAGTACGCATTCACGATCCCGTACTTGGGAAACGAACCCATGACCTTCGATCTGGTGTAAGACAGTTACTCACTGAAGACAATGGTGGACGGTCGCGCAATATTGTGGATTGGTTGAAGCTAGACATTAAGACCGTTAGATGCCGGCTCAATAGTCTAAAGGTTAAGCTTTCGCACGCGAGACCGAATATCTTGAGTTTGAGCCCCACATGTGGGATCGTGAATGTATGTGTCCCACCGAACGGACATCCAGTACTTCCAGGTTTTCAATGTTGGTCTAACATTCTTTAAGTTGTCTGAAAAATATTTACAACATAAATAAGTATCTGTTTGCAAAGTCTGAAATTTCATTTACGTTATTATTTATTATTTACATATATATAACTGTGATGTTATATATATATGCATAATTAGTTGTCATTTAGACAAGATGTAAACACAATGTAATTGTTTATTGCATAACTTTTTGTTTACAACGATTGACCTTGGAGAAAATGATAAATAATCAGTTCACTTAGCATGTACCTTTTTCATGAATTTTATTTGATTCTTTGCTCATTTAATGAATCCACTGTCAAGGTCAAACTCATATAACTGCGGTACATATGTGTGTATGTGTTGAATGTTATAATTACTCTTTAACTAGAGGTAGCTGGTTCATTATATGTATCTATCGGCACAGAAATTGATTGAGTTCATCGGATTAACTAATTCTAAACAGTTATGGTAAAATGATGTAAATAGCAATTGAATGAAGGTGAATAACCACGTTGAAATAGAATGTAAGACAATAAACTATTCTACAATCTAAATGAAGTAAATGTTATGTAGGATCATTAGTTCAAGAGACTGATATCACATTGGTTGTTAACAAACACGAAGATGAAATTATGCATGTGGCATAAGCGATATCCTATGTTCAGTGAATATTCTTCTTTCAATATAAACAGAACTGACCATCATTAGTGAGTAAATTTGTAGCTAATGATGATAAATCTTTTACCTCAGCATCTGTGGTGATAGAAAAGATTAGGCACCAAAGATATGAATTGGCGAAAATTTAATGTAATTTAGAATCTCAGGATTTGATGGAAAACAAAAAACGGATGCACCTGCTCCATCGCAAACTGTTTTGAGCCATATCTCTAACCATTGGTTACAATGATCACGCGGACCCTAACCAAGGTAGTCTACATCTATCAACATGGTCTAATCCAGTTGTCAGTCTTCATGAACTGATGCTATATTTTGATTTGGTCCCTAGTACTCTATTACTACCCCAGACATTACTTAAACCGTGGTCCCAAAATACATAAGCAATGCTCCAACTCTAGTCCCGAAGAATTAACCCCAAGTATGATTGCTATGTATTCTGAAGAAGTTGACCAGTCTTCTCATATTGTCATTTACCATATCACGTCCATCTTGTGAATTGATTTCCTTGCATACCTATCCTGCAATATACATTTTTTTTAATAATCAAATACTCTGCTTTTGAAATGATTTAAAAGATTTGTCATTCAGATGATTGGTACTTGAAGTACTTTGTTTGAAAGAACTAAGAGAACATCAATATTTTTCAAATTATTCTAAGTGTCAAATGATATATACAAGTCAGATTGAAATTATATCCCTTATACACTTCTCTACGAGACAATTATATACATGAAACTAATGAGTTTCAAATTAAATTTTGATGATGAACAGATATATTTCTTGAGATTAGATGGTGGTTGGAGGTAGTCGACAGGAAATCCTGGATCCGGGTTTCGTGCTACTTGGCACTCGTCAGCACCAGTTCCCTCAAGATTCCAGGTACACCTTGCTGACGAGTGCCAAGTA